TATGGAAAGGAACCACAAAGAATATATAGTTCATAATTATGTACTGTAGTTAGTTGGTTGCATTCAACTAAAAGTTTGCTTTTAAGAATCGTCCAATCTTCCTGTCATACCTATAATCTAAGTTATTAAAATTTAAAGTGGTGATGCAGGTGTTCTTTAGATAAGTAATGATTGCTATTTACCAAAGATTTTTTTCTGATTGTTTATTTTACCCTGTTTTTGTCTAATATATATATTTTGTAATACGATCTTTTGAAATAAAGTATAGAATGTAATAGCAAAATCACCCTTGAAATATAAAACACTGTTTGCTGAGAGATCTCAAGGCTTAATGTCCTCTCTTTGTAAAGCTCTATTTAGAAATAATGTGTAGTTTTACAAAAACTAGGGCGAGGTAACACCTTTTTCAAATCACCCTCCAATGCTGTAACAAATTTTTCGCTTCTTAGGTCCTAGTAGAGACAATTCTATGGACTGTTTTAGTGTTATTCAGTGATGTATCATATGTCTGACTACACTGAGTTCTTGAGAGAGTTGTATAGAAATGTGTTTTAGAGGGTATTTTTCATCTATGAATTTTGCACTTATCCTCCAAAGAAACACTTGTTTTTTCCATGACCAGGCTGACGAGCGATATACGCTTTGCAAGGCAGCAATTGTTAAACTGCAGATCATTATGTATTCACACCTAGAAAGAAATTGTTTTGAGTGACTTGTACATTTTAATACACTGGAGCGTCACGAGAAAACTGTTTTCAAGATCTCTTCCACATGACCATGTCATAGTTGGGACTACAAAATGTCAAAATCTTGTACCTTCAGTACTCAAACTTCTTAGGTGGTAAGATGTACCGTATACTAGTTCATGTAGTGGTAGTTCTTGCTATAAGGCCCACTGTGTAACGGGGAAAAGTCCTTGTCACTCCTGTTTGAAGCCACAAGTTACCGTGTTGTTTTTCATAAATTACTGGTCACAGACTTAATGGTTTGACTACGACTAGAAGGACCCCGGAAGACATGGCCCCTGGACTCTCCGTTAGCCCACAACTAAAACCATTCCCAAGGCCAACTCTTCAGACAAAGATAGACTGGACTGTGGGACATAAAATAATACTCGTGAAGAGTGTGCTTCTTAGCTCAAGTAGATAACACGAGACCAAATGGACAGTTCCTGTCCAGAGGTAAGATGAGAAGGCAGAAAGGGTCAGGAGCTGGTTGAATGCACACGGGAAATCCAGGGTGGAAAGGAGGAGTGTGCTGTCACAGTATAGGGAGAGTCACTTAATAATGTGTGTATAAATTTTTGTATGTGAAACTAACTTCAATTGTAAACTTTCACTTAAAGCACAACTAAAAAAAAATTTCTGGTCACATAGATACCGCAGCCTTCTAAATAAAAAGCTGTGAACACTCTGTAAGGCCACCCAAATACCCATTAAATTTGCTGAAGGTATCCTGTGACTTAAAATCCACTTCTTCCCATTTTAAATGCTTGGAATCCTCTTGGAATAGCAAACATCCAATTTAGGAATAAAACATAACCTCTTTATATACCTTATGTATATCTCTTTTATTTAAACCTTTGAAAGTCTCAATATTTAGGCTGAAAGTATACTTATAATGCTCTGTTTTAATGCATCATAATCATGAATCTGGTGTAGTTTCCTACGTTTGTGTCCTGGTTACAAAGTACACATTCCTCAAATGTGTGTTCTCCCATGTTTTCTCATAAACAGAGGTCATGGTGAAATCTATCCCCATTGACCCCTAAATGCCACCCTTCCATGTCATTGCCATTTATGACCTTTCTTTGTCATTCTCTCAAGCATGTCAAAGAGGATCAGTGCATAGCGAGCAGTGAATCTCTAAAGAGTATCTGGGAGAACACACCTTTATGTACCTGGTGTAAGACAGAAAAATATATATATGGTGGTGCTCCTTCAATCTTCCTAGACATGGGAGAATGGTATTTCCTTCTCTCTAACCTCTAGAAGATGGCTCTTGTAGGTTTTGCTAACATGCCCTTAGGTTAAAAAATTGTGTTGAATTAATTGAATATAGCTTTAGAATTCAAGTTTATCTCGTCTAAGTCTTTCATTTTACCAGTGAAGAAACTGATTTATCAGTGAGCTTGACGATGTTAGATACAATTTCAGTTGTGAGCAGGTTTACAAAAATGTCACTTACGCATTGTGAAATAGTCCCTTTTACTATACAAAGGCCATGTTTAGTATTTATATGTATATAAATATATCTTTTTTTTATTTTATGGAAGAACTAAAACCTTAACAAAGCTAGAACTTTAGGAACCAGTTTTATCTAAACAATTTAATTTCTTCTAGTTTTGAGCTAACATCAGAGTAGCCTTATAGCAGTTTTGTTGTCTACAAGTGCATTCCAAACTCCTTGCATATTAATTACTTGGTAGGGCTTATGCTAACAAAACTCTGAATTTGATCTGCCCTCTTGTAACAAAAATCAGACCTTGCTGTTACTGCTTTTCATCCCTAAGATTGAGAGCCATCACTGTTCTGTTGACCAAAAATCTTGTGTGTAAATTGAAATTTGGGCAAAAATATAACCAGCAAGATATGCCTGAACATCCAAAGAGATAAATTAAAGTCAGTCATAAGCTGTAGGAATTTCACTTAAGCATCCATTAGATTAAGCGGCTGAGCTCTGGAGTGGAAATGAGGATTGAGGAGCTGTGCGTAGAGGGAACGGAAGGGTGGAGGTAAAGGATGGTTGTGTTAATAGAATCTTTTTCTTTTTAATTTTGTAAAGTTAAAAATAACTTATTTGCCTTCTTTCCAAGCTTGGCTGCGGGACTTGGCTGCTAAGGAGCAGTGTGTTAAACAAGGCACTTTCATTATAGTTGATTAAAAGTGGGGTCCCTGTAGTTTGGCAGTTACTTGGCTGTCAGGATCCTAAAGGGAGCATATACTTCTTTCTCTTCTCTTTCCTTTACTATGTTATGCAAGTTGATCTTTTTGCCTCCAGGGATGGATTGATCTTAAAACACGGGCACTTTGAGGAATTATTTATTAGAAACTATATTAACAATTTCAGCATATTATGGTCTTGATTGTCTCTGTACTTTCTCTCTTCCTCCTCTCAGTTGCTTACTACATTGTGTACTCTAGTTAGCACACATCTGGAGCTTTTGGTTGGAAAAGAGTCTAAAAGCTTTGAAATCTAGAGAATCCATTTATATGAACTATATGGTTTTTAATATAATTGTAGACTATCATAATATATATATTGTTCCTTAATGCTCTCATGTAAGCCTTTCAAATTATCCTGCTTTTATTGATAGTAACTGCATATTTTAATTCTATAAATCATCGGTATGTATATCTATAAAGCATAAAATGCTAACATTTTGTTGATGGAATTCAATGTTTTTATGACTGCTATAATGGAGTATTTAAAAAGACAACATTATAAATTAATTTGATGCACACAACATCACTACTATTACCACCCTCCCATATCTGCAAGACAGTGACACTGTATTTCTCAAAAGCTGATCTGCAAGACATTTTAATTAGCCTGATTCATACTATTCTAGCAGAAATGTTCCAGATAGCATAATAAAAGTCTCAAAGAACTAGAGTGGTTTATTAGTATGGTTTATTTAAAAGCTTGTATTAGAGTTTTACTTGCCTGTAGGCTAATTTCTCATGTTTTGGGCATGTATTCATTTGCATGGCAATGTTTTAGATAGATGAAATTAAAAAACTCATTTCACAGACTGCTGTAAAGTATATCTGGGTCAGTATGTATGGTTTCTAGAAATTTCTGAAGATTATTGAAGTTCGTGGTTAATCAGAGTTAATGTTCTATGTTCATACCCTGGCATACATCTGCATATTGGCAAAGGTGATATTTTGGGCAGCAGTAACCTATGCTAATTAGTTATTGTCCTCGGTCAGTAGGTTAGCAGGCCTTTTGTACTATACAGCTAATTAATGAAATCAGTAACTTCATTTGATGTTTACTTAAATTGAGTAAAAAAAATTTTAGATAACAGCTTTATTAAGATATAATTCACATACCATACAATTGACCTATTTAAATTGTACAAGTCAGTGGTTTTAGTGTATTCACAGAGTTGTGCAACCATTACCACAATCAGTTTTAGAACATTTTTATCACCCCAAAAAGAAACCCCATACCCATAAGCAGTCACTTTCCATTGTACCTTCCCTGCCCCAAAGCCCTAAGCGACCACTAATCTACTTTCTGCCTCTATAGATTTGCCTCTTCAGGATAGTCTATATACAATAAACGTAATTATATAATGTGTGGACTTTTGTGACTGGCTTCTTTCATTTAGCATAATGTTTTCAAGGTTCATCCATGGTTTAGCATATATTAGTACAAATATTGCCAAAATTTTGTTTTTAAGTTTGTTTTGTTATTTTCTTTTCCTTAATTTTATTCTCCCCCTTTTCATTATAAAACAAACCCTAAGATCCTTAATCATAATTATGATGATCTCAAAGAGTAAACCAATTCATTCTGTAAGCCATAAAGTGGCCATAAAGCAGTCATCTGCATGGTCTGTTAACATTTCACAGTTGATCTATATATTATCATAGAAGAGGCTTTTTTTTTTTTTTTTAAATATATTTTCAGAAAACGTCATCTCAGCTACTGCCAGTGGCAAGCCCAACTGAACCAGGCATAGCCTTGTTACTTCAGATTAGTCCATTTCAATATCATTTGTATTATTAGCATTTTACGTCTAAAAATGTTTGGGTCGTTTCTTTATGTTTTCATTAGTGGCTCTTCACCAGGGTATACCATTATATTATCAGAAGTAATATTCCCAGTCCACCCATTGCTTATGGATTCATAGACATCACAATTTATGAAAGATGGGAGTTCTTTTATCAGCTACAGAGTTTATATGGATATTCAAGAAGATTTATATAAGCTGTGTTAATCTTTCCTTTTGTTTGTTTCTTATTTTTGAATATATGCATCTTCTTCAGGACACTTCGAAAAATAATACCTGCAAAAGGTAGAGTATTCCTTTATCAGACTTCCTTATGTTCTACATAATGTCTGGCAAGAGGTTCTTCCGTAAATATACATGTATAACGTAAGCGTACCGTTTGACAGCTAATTCTTTTTTGGCCAGAAAGTCGTTGCAGATTAAATAGTGCCTTGACAATAGCGAAATTAATTTTGAAAGCTTCAACCAGTTTGAATAATCTCAAGCTTCATGCCTTGAGTACTTTTTAAATCATGTTATGACATAAATTGGAATCACACTTAGTGAGAGGCCAGTGTGCATGGACAAGTGACTATTCAGCAAAGCTAGTCAAGCACCTCGTCTGCACCGCAGCCCAGCTGTACGACTCCAGTTAAAACTTAATCTCATTTAATCCTCACAACCACTCTGAAGGTAGATGCTATTATTATATTTTACAGAAGAAAAAAAATTATTACAGTCATACTCAAGCATTTGGGTTTTCTCAAAGGTTTACTTAAAGTATATCACTTGCAGTAGTATTAGTGAAACAGTAGTATTAACTCTGAAAGGTATAAATTGCCATCTCTTTAAGTGTCTCTGGAGTCCCTGGGTGGCACAGATGGTTAAACACTCAACTGCTAACTGAAATGTTGACAGTTCAAACTCACGCAGAGGTGCCTCAGAAGAAAGGCCTGTCAGTCTGCTTCTGAAAGGTCACAGCCTTGAAAACCTTATGAAACTCAGTTCTACTCTGCAACACATGGGGTCACCATGAATTGAGTCAGAATCAACTCAACAACAACTGGTTTTTTTGTTTGTTTTTTTGAATTGTCTACTTGAGATGACTGTGAAGTCCTTGCCTTGTAAAAGATCTTTATAGAGGTTATGTAGACCATCTGTTCTGACTTTTCTGAGATCCTATTTCAAGCATTTTAGGGAGAGAGAAAATTTTTTTTTTTCTCTTCATAAAAATATTGGGTCTTTTTTATTTGCGGTGATGGACAGAGCATAAAAAATATAAACTTAAACGGAACTAGTAAATTCAGCTTCCTTAATGTTAAGGACTTCTGTTCAGCCAACTGTTCCATAAAGAATTTGAAAATACAAGCCACAAATTTGTAATACATTTATGCTACACATAAAACTGATTTAATAATTATTATACAAAGTACATAAAGAATATCTGCAAATTGATTAAAAAAAAAAACTCAGAGGCAAGTTATTTGTTATATATGTATTTGACACACAAAAAAAGTAGGATATGAGAAAAAGACTTAAACAGATATTTTAGAGAAGAAAGGCAAATATAAGCATATGAAAAAAAGTTTAATCTCATTAGTCAACAGAGAAATGCTGATTAAAATACAGGGTATATTCCACACCTACCAGACTGGCAAAAATAAAAAATTTTGAAAATAATTAGAGTTGGTTAAGAAAGTGGATCATCAAGACTCTTAAGCTCTCCTAGCAGAGAATATCAATGGGTACAATTACTTTGGAAAACAGTTTGACATTCTCTAGTAAATTTGACCGTATGAAAAACTTTTTGACTCAGCAATTCCATTCATAGTGATAGATTCGACAGAAATGTGTGTACATGTACAAGAAGCTTGTATAAGAATATTCGTGGCAGCATTATTCCGTATATTCAAAAACTGGAAACAACCCAGATATTCATTCATTCATTAATAAAGTGAGTGAAGAAACTCTGGCATATTCATACAGTGGAATACACAGAGTAATAGAAATAAGTGAATCACAACTACATGCAGTAACCTAGATGAATCTGCAAGAGTTTTGTCTTAATGCCAGGAAGTTGTTGTTGAGCCTAAATCTCCTTTGGTGCATTATAAATGCATTTCCCCTTTATAGTCTCAGTAGAAATTAAGTATTCTGAAGGGTTTATGAAGACTGGTGGTCAGCCATTCCCAGTCACCTGTAAGGAGTCTTTTGTACCAAAGAATTTCTCTTCAGTGTTTTCTCAGGGATCCTGCTTTTGAACTCCTTAGTTTTTTTTTATGGTGGTTCTCCAAGAGGTTTGACTTCATTAGTCTTATGGAGAGATTACTTCAAAGTTCTCATGTGCCATGTTGTTGTTATACGTGCCAACTTGCCTTTTTTTTTTAAAAAAAATAAAAGCTCCCTGGGTGACACTCTTAAGTTGTCCAGGGCAGCCTTCTGCCATACTTAAATGTACAAAATGCTAGGCATGTTTAGACGAAGAGAATAATTTTTATTATTGAACTTCAGCCAGTTTTATTGGCTTCAAAACCTTTTAATACCAAGACTGCCTATGTCTGAAATGGAGGGACAGCCAGGTCATTTGGATTATGGAAGAATTACACATGAAAACCAGCAGTGTTAATAAGCTCTATTAAAGAGGAATAATTATTTTAAGGAGAATGATTACTGTCTTGACACTCCTAAGAGAAGTCTCTTGCAGCACTTTTTTAGCTGGCTCTGTTATTTGCTTAACTTTATTAGAACTATCAATATGTTCTCTCTCTCTCTCTCTCTGTGTGTGTGTGTATGTCCTTATTAGTGTCCAGACTAGAGGTTAAGAGGATGGGTTTGGATCAGACTGCCTAGCTTACTAAAAAATTATACTTAGTGTGTTTTCCTGTTTATAAATATTAATTGTACAATATGTGCAAAACAAAAGCATGAAGAAAATATTAAACTACCCGTAATCCTATGACCCAGAAATAACCACTGTATGTCTGTATAAAAGCACATACAGAGGTGTATGTGTATATTTTTTTATTTTTGGTATCGTACTGTACATTCTGCTTTTACCCTTTTTTGAGTTTTTGTTGTTGTTTAATATTGTCAGTCCAATCCAAATATCTGGTTTCTTCCAACTACTGTGTGATAAAAGTAGTTAAATTTCCCAAAGTAAATCAAAACTCTTGGCCCATGAGAATATTAAAATGTGAATGTGAAAGAGCAAATGTTTGGTATAAAATGTTCACAACTTTATTGCTTTTTCTCCCACCTCTAGTTGCTGGTCATACTGGGTTTTCCCCATCGTAGGAGCTATTCTCTTAGGTTTCCTGTATCGTTACTACACGTCCGAAAGCAAATCCTCCTGAGGAGACCTTGTTGAAGTCTGGAAAGCACATCCACTTGGGAGTGAAAACCAGAGACTTGCTTTGGGGGCTGCAGAATTGCCCTCTTCTTGAATCCTGCCAATTGTATTCTTCCCCCTTGGAGTCAAGATGGTTGGCCAGACATCCACCTCAGACCTGGGACCAGTGTCCTTCATCTCTGAGAGCCTTACTCCCAGAGCACCTGCTCACTTTTCTGCATCCTTGCCAATGTTTCCTTCCTTCACTGCTTCCCGCAACTACCTTTACATTTCAAAACTTTTTGTTAATAATTGTAATTCATACATTGTAGTTACATTGCCCTTTGGTAAGAATGGCTGCTTTCCAGTATTTTAAATGTGTATTAGACATTCTTAGTGGAGTGGCAAACTCTGGTTTTAAAGTTTTCTTTTTCCATTTTGCTTGTAAGTAATTTTTTTTTTTTTTTTAATTCTGGTTTAATTCTATTGTTTGCGTTACTCATCTAAGAGATTTAATTCATGAAGTGTGCACCTACTGCTTAAAACATAGCTGGCACATGGAAACACATGTTTCTTGTTTATATTTGTTAAAACCAAACCACCCTGTCTGGTTTTCTATTCTATGCTGCCCCCCAAGCTAGTGTAGCAGGTGGCTTTTCCCACCCCCTAAGTCTAGCTCCTATTTTTCCCAAGTGGTGCTGGACAAAACTATGCTTCCCTTTTATTTCTTGGGGATGGGGAGAGACAGGAGAGGATGGTGGATGAATTGGGATGATAGGGCCTGATGAATTCATAGTAATCTTTCTTTTTAAAAACACCACTTTAGAACAGGAGTTTGGTAAAAGCACCAAAGACTTCAGCCTTCACTTCAGTTTGGCATGCATTTCTAGCCATCCTTTTGTTCCCCTAGCCATCTTTTATTGGTAAATAAAAATTTGTAATTATGTCTATAGATCTTTACCAGGGATTTTTGCCACTTTTTTGTTTGTTTATTGATTAGTACACTTTAGATTATGCATTTTACAAAATTAAAACTCCACATTGATTTGAAGGTGCGGTATTTGATCTTCTGTTCCCCCCAGTGAAATACCTTGTGTAGTAAAATGGCATTTGAAAGCAGGAGATCATAAGAAAATGTTTTCCAGTTGTCTGTATTTTACCTCTGTGGCTCTAACTTTTGGTTTTGTACTGTTGTACCATTGAGAATAAAAATCTGGTCATTTTTTTCTTGGTTGTGTGTTTCATTGAGGAGTAGGTTATTATTTAGAGTTCTGTTACTGTTTTTTCTTGGTTCAGGGATTTGTCGGGCATATTTGACTCATGTTTTCCCTGTGGAAGCACCTGAGGAGACTGCATACTGGCTGTTTTCTGTCAGCTGTGGTGATTTTTCTCCCCATGCTTTGAGGATTACCATTCTGCCTCTGAGCCATTGTCATATCCAGCAGGGAGCAGCTTGGTTCAAGAAGGACCATGGGCCCTGCTCAGTATCTTCCCCCCACTTCCAGCTTGCCAGGGACTTGAGGAGACAGGAAACTGCCCAGCAAACCAGTGTCTGCCTATGCAAACTATTTAAGAAAAAGTTCAACCAAGGCCTTGTGTCCTGTGATTTAGCAGTTGAATGAAAATATTAACCTTGTACTTGTACACTTGGATATGACGTTTTGGAGTAATTTTAGAGGATTTCTCATTGACCTTTATATACAGGGATGCAGGTATAGTCAAACTTTTATCTTTAGAAAAATTTTTATATGTATTGTAAGATGCCACTTTAAGACAATTTATCGGTTTAAAAAAATTGGTTATTATGTAATGAAAGTGGTAGGACAGTTAATGCTCCTCTATTTGAAGGCAATGAAGGGTTTCCTTGAATAGGAATGTATAATTGTTATAATAATTAAGTTGCACGATTATGTGGGTTGATGTTGTGGTAGAGGTAAAGAACAGGAAAGTATTGAGGAGCTGGAAAAGGGAGCTTTCAAGCTAAAACTAAGCCAGAAGATAACTTGGATCAATTCTAAAAGTGTGTTGTCAGTCTCCAAAATTGAATGAAAAACATCTGGCTTGTAAGAAATGTTTAAGAATTATAGTCTTAAGTAAAATTGGTGTTTTTGATATTTTGTAGGGTAAACACCAGTGCAAAAGGTATGTTTTTCTATTTCATATTGGTTGTCTTTTCCTGTTTATATCCGGGCTTGTTTTTACTGAGAGCCAGAGGGAGACATTTTCAGACTTTGTCTCTAACATCCCTGAAATACATCCAATATCCAGGGTTTCTTTTGAACTAATGTGCTGTCACTTTGTATTATAAAAACCACTTTTGAGTCCATTTATTGTTATTCTGCTGCCTAGATAAACAGCCCAGTGAAAGGTAGAGCTTGTGTGAGAATTTGCAGAGGTTTTTCTAAACAATAAGTAAATATAGTACGTTAGTCAAATCCATCAAAAAGTACTTTTGTTTAAGAAGTGGACTTGAATTCTTGAGACAGTCCCAACATTGGTAGGTTGTGAAAACCCCTCCAGAGAGCCAGTGGAGCCAGTCTCTGTTGGCTGACATTCCCCCCTGGAGCTGGTCTCTGGAGAGTTTGGTGGTTTATTCCTGAGGAAGACTGGCTGCTGCACACTATACATATATTCAATGGTTGGGGCGCAATAAAAGGGATGATGGGAAATTTGTGCCACCAGAATAGAGGGTGTTAGTGCCAGTTCTCCAAAATCTCCTAGCCCCTGTCTCGTAGAAATTGGTTTTGGTTTTCAAATGACTTCTCCATTTGTAAAGACAAGAAAGTGATGAGAACAAAGTTTGTATTGTGTCGAGTTCTCACGTGACTGCTGAACCAGAAACAATCCATTGGAACCTATAATTTGAGCCTGTGAAGTTCTTTTAGCAGTTGTCATAAATGTATGTGTTGGGAAACAGGAACATTGTTAAGTTTATGTTCATTTAGTTCCCGATGTGATGCAGTGAAATATGATTTCTTTACAGGTCAGGGCTGTCATTATGTATGCTTAAAAGCTGAAGTGCTATCTATCTGGTTAAATTCCATTTTAGGAGATTGAAAATCAAGACGTTAATGTTCATTCCCTCCTACCCCGGGAGAAATGGATTCAGACATGTCTTGTCTCAACAAGAAATTGCATTTTTTAAAACCATCTCATTCTGTTGCCAAATATCACAAAAGTAATGGCGAGTGTAGTCACATTTGGCTGCTGTGTTCTGAAGAGCTAGGCTTGGAATTTGTGGGGGCGAACTATGAGGAAGGTTCCAAAGAAATAGAGAGGCATTTGTCAAGTTACCTGCTCTGTATCCAGCATCTTATTCGTGAGTTTTAGTAGTTGCTCTTTTCCCACACCTAGATCCTAGATTTGCTATTTGGGCAAAACATTATTACAATTATTTATCTTCTTTTCTTTTTACTTCACCCTTAACTGTGAACTAGTAATATTAACATTTCTTTTATGTATTCAATAATGGAGTTTCATTTACCTATTTTATTTCAGCATATTTTGAACAAAGATCTTTGTCTCTGTTGTAATGTGCACACAGTGAATGTTTGTTAGAACTATACACAATAAAGATAGTGTTTCCCTTTTCTTGCCCTGACTACGGTTATTTTTAAATGAAAAATTGTTTTTTAAGTAAAAGAGTTGGCTCTGTAATCCTCAGGTGTTCTGGAAGAAGAGAATTTGAGAAGCATGAAAGTCACCTGTATCTATTCTAATATTGTGTTCAGTGTAACTTGATGGGGAGTTCCATGGTTGGTTCTTCACGATTGTGGCTGCTTTCTTTGTCTGAAGTGGGTTGCTCTCTTGATAATTGTGAGATGCAAAAATCAAGACTTTTTTTTTTTTATTGTACTTTAGGTGAAGGCTTATAGAACAAATAGTTTCTCATGAAACAGTAGTACACATGTTGTTTTATGACATTGGTTAACAACCCCACAACATATCAACCCTCTAACTTCTCAACCTT